TGTTCATCATGATGGTGTGGTTTGCTTTGACGCAGTCGATTGAGTATTGGTTCATGGCGTTGGGTTTCTGGTACGGCTGCCGTCTGCTGTCCCTCGGCGACATCAGCATGTATGACTTTTTCGTCGCCTTCCTGGGTGTCTTCTTCTCCGGCCAGGCCACCGCCCAGCTGTTCCAGTTTTCGACGAGCATCACCAAGGGCATCAATGCAGCCAACTACATTTTCTGGCTCCGCGAATTGCAGCCCACGGTCCAAGAAACGCCCGAGAACCACAACAACGGTCCCAGCGCTGGCGGTCCTATCGAGCTCGACAACGTTCGCTTCTCCTATCCTCTTCGTCCGGATGCTCCCGTGCTCAAAGGTGTTGAGATGAACGTAAGTGCCTCCCACCTCTCACCTGAGCAGCTCATCTAACATTCTCAGATCAAACCCGGTCAATTTGTGGCCCTTGTCGGCGCGTCTGGATGCGGCAAGTCCACAATGATCGCCATGCTTGAACGTTTCTACGATCCGACGACCGGCACGCTCAAGATTGCTTCCTCTCCACTGCCCACTCTGAACCCAAGGCTCTACCGTCGCCTCGTCGCGCTTGTACAACAAGAGCCGACGCTGTTCCAAGGCACGATCCGCGAGAACATTGCCCTCGGCCTGGACGATGACCCTTCCGATGCCTCGTCGGAGAAGACCGCGGCCGCAGTTCCTGACTCTCGAATTGAGGCAGCCCTCCGCGCAGCCAACGCGTGGACCTTTGTCTCGTCGCTGCCACAGGGCCTCGCCACTCCAGCCGGCGCCAACGGCACGCAGCTGTCGGGTGGTCAGAGGCAGCGCATCGCCATCGCGCGGGCGCTTCATTCGTGACCCGGCCCATTTTTGCCTTCTTGACGAGGCGACGAGCGCCCCTGGGATACGGGAGAGCGAGAAAGATTGTGCAGGGGCCCCTCGCCGAGGCAGGCCAAGGCCGGAGACGGAATCACGGTGGCGGGTCGCGCACCCCTTTGGAGTACTGGTCAGGGACGGCCGACTGCTTTTGTGTTTTTCTACGGGGGGAAAAATCCGTAAAAGATGGGCCACGCATGCTGGAGCTTGTGGGCCCAGGGAAGCATGTTCCAGAAAAGAATGTGTAAGGCGCAGGCCCTTGGATTTAGGCGTGGA